GAAACGTACTGGGAGCCAATGCAGATCTCTCAGAACTGGTGTTATGTGGTCCCGGCGGCCACTCCCAGTCACCAGTCTTTGCAGTTTCCGGGTCACCTTCAAAGGTAGCCCCACGTAGAGCGCGTTGCAGTAGTCCAAGCGGGAGATAACTAGAGCATGCACCACTCTGGCAAGACAGTCTGCGGGCAGGTAGGGTCTTAGCCTGCGTACCAGGTGGAGCTGGTAGACAGCTGCCCTGGACACAGAATTAACCTGTGCCTCCATGGACAGCTGTGAGTCCAAAATGACTCCCAGGCTGCGCACCTGGTCCTTCAGGGGCACAGTTACCCCATTCAGGACCAGGGATTCCTAGGTTCACATAATATAAGTGTTACAGTATTCAAATTTAATAAATAAGAATGAATGAATGAATGAATGAATGAATGAATAAATAAATGATGTTAATAATATCTACATAAAAATAACACATGCATATAGCTTTTTTCTTCTGTTTTGCTACTACGCTTCTATACATAGCTCTACACCCATGAAGGCTGGAAAAGCAAATTGTTTTGTTTTTTTAAATGAGAAGCAACATTTCTAAACCGATAAGCCACACAAACGTGCAGCCATACAGAAGCTGCATGTTTTTCCACATCTGCTATATGGTAACTTAAAAAAACAAAAATAAAACCACAGGAAGCTAAGTTTCATTATTTTGCTACAAACCTTGTGGGTTGTTGTTTCTTTAAGAGTAGGCTCAAAAATACAAACGATGGTTTATGGATTATTGGATAGCCTCGTCCCTCCTTTTCTTGCAGTGCGAGACTAGACTTGAAAGGCCAACTGTTCCTCACTCAGCATGCAGTATATGTCAGCAGATTGCCGCCTGATTGTGAAAAGGGTAGTGCCCTCCAGTTATTATCTCAATTGGTAGCTTGTGGAAAATACTGTGAAAACATGGGGAACGCAATATTCATCTTTGGTCTGTCCTCCAAGTTGATGACAACATGGAAAATAAGTAAAGCTGAACGGGTAGTAGGGGGTTGATTTCCTGGAACTTAATTTTAATATTTGGGAGTTGTATACACCTGGTTTTCTGTTTGATTTCTGAATCCATTTTATCCCCCTCCCCCAAAGTGGATTTCAATTATAGCTGTTCTGAATTTTCTGCCCGGAGAAAAGAAGCTTCAAAATCGGTTAATAAAAGTGAGAGGTGCAGCGCTTTTGGACTTGAATCTAGTTAACATTTGTGTAGCTAGTCTTTTGTAGCTTCTCTCCCCCCCCCCCCCAAGTATTTGCGGGATTTAAAAGGGTTGGGGATACAGAAGCCAGCAATTAAGCTGTGCGATACATTCGCATGGTAGGATTCTTATATCCCCGTGCCTGCTCTCCCTCCCCATTTCTTTTCCTTTTTAGTTAGCATTAACAACATTAAAACCATATAGCTGGAAGCAGTTTTATCACTTTGTAATGATGCTTCCTGTGTGCGTGGCCATGGCTGTGTGTAGCTCAGGCAGGGCTGCTCAGAAGCTGGGGTGTGCTCTCTGTAGCAGTTCAGGCTCCGTTCACTAGGACATCACACCTTTAACCAACTGAAGCTGGTGAGCTAACAAGTGAGAGGGACCTCCTGTTGTCTTCGGCTTTTATTTTATTTGGTGTGCATGTGGGTGTATTTTACTTCACAGCTTTCAGGGGGAATGATTGCAAAAGGAAGAAGAAAAGCTGGCCAGTGCCAGTGGGAAAGCAGAAATCCAATTGCTCTCTAGACCAAATGTTAAGCTCAAGAATCCCATCAACATTTTTTACAGCTTATTATATCCACTGTGTTTATATGAAATGAGAGAAACAGTGTATATCTATGATACACATTATATTTTAAGAGCCAGATGTGAAATGGAGGGCTTCAACATTTTTAGGTTACTAGATTCCTTGGTCTTGCTTTTGGTTACCAGCACAGAACTTTGACATGTCTAAATGCAGAGCACATGGCTCTGTACTGTAGGATTGTCACTGAAGAAAATGCATTTTACTTTTGACAATGCAATCTCAAATCTGTTTACTCCAAAGTAAGACCTACTACATTGAATGGGGTTTACAGCCAGCTAAATCATATATAGCATAGCAGCCTGAGTTTATTAACTCATTCATTCATCAGTTGAATTTGCATATCAACAGTACTGAAGAAAAAACCATCCTTTATTTCTTTTTTCAGATGATCTGCATATGATCGTAGCAGGCACGATCTTATTATGTAAGCCACTTAGAGATATTTTGATTAAGCAATATATAACATCTTAGAGGCATTCCTTATTGTAGGATGTCCCCCGCCCCGCCGAATGATGTTGGACTACAACTCGATATTAATCCCTTACCATTGGTCATGCTGTCTGGGGCTAATGGAGGACTTGAGAGTTCAATGACATCTAAAGGTCCACAGGTTTCTGATCCCTGCCTTACTGTGTGTGAGAGAGAAATGTCCTGTAACCCAGTGCTTGCTATTTTCAGTGTTTATACAGACATGTAATTTTTAAAAATAGATCTTTTTAACCCAATGCCCAATTAAGCAGGTTAACAGTTTTCATTGATCAGAAATGCGCTTTATTTAAACTATCCCCTTAAACACCAGAGCTCTCATATGTATTCCGGATTCAACACTGATCAGAACTATTGCAAGCCCACTAGGAGACCGAATATGTTGGAGTTCCTTTTTCAGAAATTTCCTGGAGGATAAATAATACCACTCTTGCCATCTGAGCACTTCTGGCTTCATAGAAGATGCCAGGAGTGCTTTTTTGCACGCCAGAAGTCCTGGGTGACAACCATACGAGAGCTGGTCACCTTCTGGATTTTGCACATGGCAAAATACATGTGTGTGTTTATCGCACGTCACGAGACACAATGGGCTTTCAGACACAGAGGTTGTATCTGCAAAAGAAAACAGGCTTGCGTGAAGTGGTCCATCGGAATCAGCGGTGCAAAATGCTAATCAAAGTCTAGCTGTGTCATCACACGGGCCCTGACTTGTTGAAAGCAGTATGAAAAGGAGAAGGGTTTCACCTCCTGAATTTGTTACAGAATAAATACTGTTTCATAAATAGTTTAGTAGTATTGAAGATCACTCCCAAGTATGAGCAGTGTTAATTTGTTACACAGTGCGAAGCGGCGGGGGCGGGGAGCCTAATTACAACCTTGTTGCTAAACAAGTGAGAAAGATCTTACAAAAAGCTCAAGGCAGCAGGCCAGGAGTGGCTAAGCTTGAAGATCAGAGCGGTCACCGAGTGAGAAAATACTTCTCCGCGAAGGCTTGTTTTATTTTCGACTAATACAATCAGGCATTATCGGTGACTTGGACAGCTTCCCAATGCACATTTTAAATGGCTGGAATCATTTGATGCATTTGGAGAGTACCGATAAAACAGCCTAAACACACACACACACACACACACCCCATCAGAACAGTGGAGCCCTTCTCTCCTCCCCTTGTGCTCCTGCACTTGTGGGCTTCCCATGGGCATCTGATTAGTCACTGGGAGACCAGGATGCTGGACCAGGTGGGCCATTGGTTTTATGCAGCTGGGCTCTTCTTACATCCATGTGTTTTCAGTGCACCAATGTAGTGACGGCCGAGTTTCTGGTCATTCAAAGCTGAGCAGCACCAGGGGTTGATCACCAGGCAGCCTCGAGACCTGTGGCTACTGCTGGAAGATGAAATCCCTCATGAGCACTGTTTGGCTGCTTCCCTACCTCAGCATGGAAAAGTGATATTATTTAGCGAGACTATGTGGCAGGCAATATCTGGCTGAGCTTCCTGGGAAGGGTTAGAGGAACTTTGGAGTTTTCCCCATGTGATCTAGTAAGGTCATAAAGTTGTAAAGGGAGGGGAATAGGTAAAGAGTGGAAACCTTGTTTAACAAGCTTAGGGTGATGGCAGGGTATTACAATACTGTGCACAGGGTTTTAAAATGTCCACAGCTAGCCCCTTTCAAGCCCTCTTCCACTACTACCCTAGCAGAAGCTAGCACAATCAAAAGGTCAAGCTGTGTGCATCTATAGCCTACACTGTGTTTATTATTCATCCAGACTAAGGAAGATTTTATACCAAACCCATTTGACATAGAACAGCTGGTTTATTGGGGCAATATGGACTGCTTTGTTTCGGCCCCAATATAAATGTTGCTTTTTGTTTTGTTTTTTCTTGAACTATTATGGGATATGTAAGTTTAGTCCATTTTGTATGGGATATTACATCACTTTGTAATAGGAGCAAGTTCATTGTAACAGTTAAATTTATAAAATTCACAGTGCAAAGATGGAGAAGAGTAATTTACTAGCAAATGAAGGTGGGGTGGGTGTTGTTGTTTTAAACACTTCTACATGCTGTACTGTGGAACAGTCCTTGAGATTGTACATTAGCAAAACTGCTTGTTTGAAAATTATCTAAATCTTCCTGCACATAAAGGGGTTGCCCATTGGGCAAATTGTTATGCAATATGTATAGTAGTGAATGAGGAGATGGTATTCAATCTTTTTCTTGAATACACTGGGGATAGGCATTATCATCAGATTCTCCCTTCATCCCTCACCATTGGCCATACTGACAGAGGCTGGTGGAAGTTGGACTTCCAACATCTGAAGGGTCACAGGTTTATTGCCTCTGATGTAAAACTTTATTCCTCAATCAAGCCAACATCCCTGTAGTCCAATACTGCCTCTAATACTGTGACCAGTCAATAGCGCAAAAACACTCTACAGTATTACCGGTATTGAAGAGGTACCATTGGAGCATTCTGCTTTAGTGCACAAAGCAGTTTTCAAACAAGTGACATCCCACATGTTCAGGGTGATAGTTGTGTGATAGACCTCTGTCATTTTTCAGAAACTTAAGTACACTACTGTGCTGAATGTGTACTTTGCTGCAGTGAAGTTCTATTAGACTACTGATAAAGAGCAAGGTCACAACCTATTTACACTTGACATGTTATTCAGTATAACCCCAGTTGTCCCAAATTTTGTTTCAGCCTTCACCAAATGTTGCCAGGATTCAGGCATTCTGATGGTGGTAAAATGCAGAGAAGAAAATGCAGCCCTGAAAGAATGCGTCACTGGCTAGTAAGTACAATGCATGGAGATAAGTCCACACCAAGCAATAAATTAAAGGAAGAGTAATCTAATACCATCTTGCTCTGTGTGTGAGCTAATTTAGAAGAGGACTAAAAATAAAGTGGTCTCTAGAAGCTGACAAGATAGATCATCTTAGTCTCAATAGGTAGTATATGATACAAAATCTAGATGTATCTATACTAGCATAGCTAGTGCTCTTTTTTGTAACAAATGAGATGCAAGTACTCTTTTACATTAAGTGTCAGGTGTGCCAGCACAAAATGGCTGCCATGGCAAGCAAAAAAAAAAAAAGTTACTCCATACTACTGAGTACTTAAAAAAAATATGCCCTGCGTATAACTTGTATGGGCTGTTACCCTTCTGGTTCACTAACTTGATAAAGCATCTACCTAGGTTATACCATTGCATCTTCTGTCACATTAAAAAGCTTGAAGACCCAGTCCTATGATGAACAGTTTAGGCTGGAGAAGAGATGATTAAGAGGTGATATGACAACCATTTTCAGATATTTGAAGGGATGCAACGTAGGATGCAAATGTACGTTGCTTCAGGGTGTAGGAACTGAACCAATGGGTTCACATTACAAGAAAGGGTTTTTCGACTAAACATTCGGAGGAACTTCCTGGCAGTGTGAGAACTGCCACTTACAACAGTCAGAGAGACTTGCTTGGAAAGTGATGGAGCCTTCCTGCTGTAAGTTTCTAGTCAGTTTTAAGAACAAAGCAGCTATTGTGAAATGCATCCTTCTGCTCTGAGGTTGCCTGTTTAGTTAAGGGGACGTAGGGTTAAATCCAATGTTGTGTGAGCCTTAGTTCCCAACAGCGCCTTCATCTCCCCCCCCCCCCACCTACACATGCCTAACCCTCTGGGGAAGATTGAGGGTGTAATGGAGGGTTGCAAGGCGCAGAATCTGAAGTTCCATTTTGCAAGTGCACAGACCCTAGAATTAACAAGGCAGTACTATTTTTTCTCTCGTACTCCTCTTTTCGTATGAGTTTGGACCATATATTGCATTCTACACCCCTCCCCCATCATTTGTAGCAAGATGAAAAGAGAAGGTCCAACTGCTAAGTATTAGAAGGAAGGTGATTTACTCTCTCTCTCTCTCTCTCTCTCTCTCTCTCTCTCACACACACACACACACACACACACACACACCCTTGCAGGCAATTCAACACGAACTATCAATTTGTGGTTGTGGGGTGTAGGTATCAATGCAGTCTCCTACACACATTTCACACATCTCTGCAACAGCAGGCTAATGAGTTGCCTTCTCTTAAAAATGAGCAAGAAGTAAACACCAGCTATGGTTGCACACTCACACAGAATACCCACCACAGAATTAGTATCGCTGTTGTTGCTTTCCCTGCACCATTTCCTACATATTTTAAGTAGTTTAGTAACTAAAACCGAGTAGAGAAATTGTTAGACCTAATGAACGCATTTTGCCTGTCTTCTAGCTACAATGATCCATCCTTTTATGAAGAATGCAAGGCTGAATATTTGAAGCAAAGGGAAGAGTTCAGAGAAACAGGAAATCGTCGAAAGCAGCAGAGGCTTCCTACAAGCATGTAGTCAAAGTCTTAAATGTTTTGGCTGACACTTTAACTTTATATACCTTTGATATCATGGAATTGAATAGATCTTACAATCACTTTTCCCTAACCCAATCTTGCTGAAATAAATGGAGCTTGTATGCTTTCATATTGTAATACAGGAAGCCAGAAGGCGTGATCCTCTGCTTAAAAACCTCAAATGAAAAGTCTTCCAAGGAAGGTAAACTATTCCAGTTCAGTTTTACACTTTTATTCACAGTAGAAGCAATTTTCCAGGCACCTTAAGCTAAATTTATACTCATTTTTTTCAGGATACCGCATTTCTAAAAGCTCTGATGTCATATGTAACATCAGGCATGAGGGCAGGTAGAAAGGGCTGCAGAAAGCGGGATAAGCTGATGAGTGGAGAGTTGACTCTTCAGTTCTGCTTGGGAACTGGCTCATGTGCCCAAATTCTGCACACCAGCTGATGCTGAAGTATACTACAAGCCCTGCTCCAACTTACCAGGGTTTCGCAGAAGCTGTACTGATTTGTGTATACGCCAAGCATGGCAATCTAATCCTCACTTCCTCTTGCAGTCTCCCCACCCTGGTTTTTATTCATAAGGCCATGAACTGTGAAGGAAAATAAAGTCAAGATACATTCAAATGTCCATTGAGGTTTTCCTCCCATCTCTTCAGGGGAAGCCCCTTTAATTGAGATGAACTTACTAGCAGGGCAAAAAGGCACTGAGTGTCTTGTTTTGGAGTGCAAATAAGAGAGCAAGAGGATCAGTGTAAAAAGGGGGTGTGGAACAGCAGCCTCCACATGTTTGAATGCAACACCCATTGTTACCAAGGATTGGCCAGACTGGCTGGGGCTAAGTGGAGTTTGGAGTTCATCATCATCTGGACAGTCACAACTTTCCCTTTCTGATGTAAAGGAAAAGCAGGGGGGGGGGAAATGTAGAAGTGCAGGATAGGAAAGTGTAAAAGTGCTGTTAATTAATGGCATGATACTGTAAACCTGACTGTCCAGACAGGAAGTATCGCTATACTAACTACACAAAATAAAAGGTTTGTTTTAACATTCCACTTATTTTTATTCACCATACCCTAACTTAGTATATTTGTTTCAGTTCAATTCTGTAAAGATCATTGGATATGCAGCAAAGCATATTGCTGACCAAATCAAATTTACAACAAAACTTTCCTAAGTTTTTTTTTTAGTTTTTTAAAAAAACACACCCTGCAACTAACCCATTTGCAGAGGCATCTCTTTCAACACTTCTGGGAATTTCCAACTTTCACACCTACTTCCATATTGATCAGACCGGCTGGATTTGTGTACGAGGCAGCCTTTAGACTTTCCATGGTACCTCAAGGCAAAAAGCCAGAGCTGGAAGCCTTTGGTTTTTTAAAAAGTAGAAAATGCTTAAAGGGGGCAGAGCCTTATTTGTCTAATTGAAGACCTTGCTAAAACAGCAATGCATGAATGCTTCACAAACTCACAAGTTCCGAAGTGATTTTAAACTCAAAAGTTTTGCTTGGGAAGGGAGGGAGAACTGTGAGAAGCAACTGAATGGCAAATTCAGATTACAGCCATTCTTCCCCTGCTAAAAGCTACTGGTTTTCCTCCTTAAGTTAGCCCCATCTTTTTTATTGCTGTATCCCACAGCAGTGTAAAAAGCCATAGGAAGTTGCCCTTATGCTAAGCCAGGACACTTATCCATCCACCCACTGTTATCTATGTTGAACAGCAGCAGATACCAAGGGGAGGGCCTTCCAGCTGTTAGTGGACTACAACTTCCATCAGCCTTAGCCAACATGGCGGATGGAATGTGCAGGCCAGAAACATTAAAGGGCACTGCAATGGCTTTCTGTGCTCCAGGGTTTCTTACAGGATCCTTCCCAACTTTATCTTCATAGCCTGGAGATTTGAGTGTGGCATTTTCTGCATGCAAACCATACACGTTCTACTATTGGACTTCTGCAGGTTAAGACTCATGTAGCACAAATAGGCTCAAGGGTTCCTTGGTATGGTAACACCTAGACTAGAGTGTCAATGTATGGAATCGGAAGGTGAAAGAGAAAGAATAACCACTTCAATGAGTAGTTCATCTAAAGAAACTGAGCTGGTTAATGTTCCCACTACTTCATGGCACCTCATAAAACATACAGGTCTCCTCCCACTTAGGAATGCATATACCTACACAATGTATTTAGATGAATATTGTTATGCACAGTAAGGGAGCAACAAGCGGCCCAGCAAGAAAATTAAAAATCTACAAAGAGATTGCTGAGGTGTAGAATTATGCACCAGAGACTAAAGTTTCATTCATGCATCTTGCAGTTGTGGACATTTCTGAGGTACAAAAGCTACGTAGCAGTCAAAAAAATAATGACTACTTGCATCAATTTATAGAAAGCCATTTTCAAAGAAAAATAATTTATTTAAAAATACGACCGTTTCTCCAGTACATTGTTTAAAACATTAACTGTGTCAGTGTGCTGGACAGTGATACTTATTCAAGTCCCTGTAACCCCAAGAAGCAGCCTTGAGAAACGCATCAGAGCTCTGCAGCCACATGAGAAATGGCTTTTGCTGCTTTGTTATTACACAGGTAGTTGGTTCTATCAGCTAAAGTCTAGTGACTTGGATTTATTTTATGCATATTGGATTCTGTTCTATTACTCTTCAGGAGATTGTACTCCCTTGAGTCAGCTATGTTCATTGGTCAGAATAAATTCCAGCATCTGACACCATTTCCATTAATCACAGACAAGCCAGGTTATGTGAGCGAGTATCGGGTGAATGGTATGTACCTTATTTATGTATGCCATTCACTAACACAGTAGAAGTCATCCTTTCTCCCTCTTCCACAGATAAAACTCTCTCCAGTATGAGACAAAGAATAAATATTTAAACTGCAATGCAAGGAAGGGAAGACTTAGCCATGATTCCTTTTACAGAAAATCACTGATATGCTTGCACTGCTCTGGCACACAGCACCCAGGCAAGTGATTTTTATTATTTAAGAACATGCATCTTAAGTGGGGTGAAGAACATTTTCTGTCTCCTTTGGGGTATCTGTCAGGGGCCACATGCCAAAAGCAGGCAGGGCCAGAGTCAATACTGGGTGTGGCTACACTTTTTCTCTCCACTCAGCAAGTTACCAGGAAGGGACATTATTCTACCAGATGATATGAGCATCAGCAGAGGGCTTTTGGAATTGGGCCAAGGCTTGCAGTTGCTCACCCCTGATCTCTTAGGTCCAGTGCAGATTTTACTTTTCCCCAGTCGTGTTTCAAGTCCAAGTTGGGAAGGAAGGAGGAGGGTGGCATAATGCATTCATTTGTAACTGTTGAAATGATCAGATGAGATTCTGGCACAGAACTAGGGAAGCTCGGAGCTGATCTCTCACTGTTATCAGCCCTCACCAGCCCTTTCCAACATGAGAGAATCTTACTCCACTTCATCTCACAAGGCCAAGCAGGAAAAAGTATTGCTGGAAACCCGGACATTAACAGGCTCTGAAACCATCCACTATTCTCTGCTTGAAAACAAATCAATATTGATTAATAGGTTTTGCTACAAAATCTTAATTTCAGCTAATCAGTAATATAGGGTAGGGACCAGGAGCTTAAGAATTATCTGACTGCCAATAGTTAGAATATTGAGAGTATGTACATAATGTTTCTGACATTTCAATGCACCTTATGAATATAGGACATAAATTTTATCATAGATTAAATGCGTTTATCATATTACAGTTCTTCCTGCTTAAGGCGCCTGGAGGTTTCTACATCAAAGCAGTCAGTGAGCTTAGGAGTCATAAAGCAAAGTTTTTGGTAACTGGCAGATAGGCACCCGAATGGTCACTGCATTTTGGCTAGGATCATACCAGAACACCACTATTTATGAAGGAAGTATTTGCCATTAAGTTTTTTACTCCATTTCTACTACCTCAGATTCTTCACTGTAAGGCTAAAGATGACACACAGCTGAGACAGCAAATCTACTCATTTGGCTTATTGTTTTAGTCACAATCACTTCAATCATTTACCTGTTCTTCTCTGCGCATGCCACAGAGTAGGGAACAAAAACCCGACACTGTTTCAGAACTGGAGGTAAAACCTACATCACATTCCATTGTTTACCTGAGAGGCCTGGAGGAAGAGACAGTGTCAAAAAAGGAGAGGGGGAAGGACATTCTCGAAGCTTGTAGAAATGTCTGAAGATACTGTATTTTACGCAACATTCACACAATTAGCTGCAATGTACAGCTTTTGTTTTACTCGGAGGCTTAATATTCTAGTAATTTGCAGGAGTGCAATCCAAAGACTGACTCGTGTATTCTAGGCCTTACACCATACGCCATTTCTATTGATGTACATGGCCTGCTTTCAAAATTAGACAAGGGAAGAGTAAAATCCTGCTTGGATTACCACACTTTCACCCTCCTTCCCATTAGCTATTTTCCTCTTAGGTGTATGGGAGCCCATTCAGAGCTAAATCAAGTTCCACAGTTCTTAGCTCTTGTGCAGGCAGTTTTGGTTACAGTGATCCAAACTGTTTTCTGGAAAGTTTAAGTGAGACGCTCTGTTTTTCGTTTCCCAAAACACAGTCTCACTAGGTTTTGGAGGGCTTGGGAAGACCCAAGAATTATCTTCCAGAGAGCTCTTTCCGTACGAATTAGGTTCCTGAAACGGAGAGTCATGAACTGGGACAAGTCTCTCGTCAGTACACGAGGGGGAAGACACAACATTGCTGAAAGTGTGGTCACTCGGCGGAAGTAGCCTCTTTTTGTACACAGCTCCAGAAGCAGCTAAATAAAGATCTGTGGTGTCCCTTTCAAGGTCTTCAATACACTGAACAGGAGCATGTGATGGCACTGTGGAAATAGCAGAAAATACCTAATTAACACAAGAGACACTCAAAACTAATACAATTGTTATACTTTATTTCAGTAGACAAAAGCCAATTATAATGCATTTCTTAACTTCTGTCCATTCAGTTGGCTTTACTGCAACTCAGTTCTTCAAGAACCTCAATACCCCACTGTTTTAACTCGTTGAGAATTAAGTACATCACCTACATACGGGAATAAATCCAATCTTCTCATTGAATGGGACTTCTGGAGGTGACAGAGTAAAGGAGATGGCAGCTTCTTGCTGTAGTTTCTTGAGGGCTGATTGTTCCTCTCCAGGCTAAGTCTCATACGTCTTCCTGCTTTGTTAACACACTCACCAGTTCAGCTATAAAAGTGTGTGTGCGAGGAAGAAATGCTAAAAAAGAGGGTGACAGGAGAAAAGCTCACCCTCTACTTTAACAGCCCAGCCTTCTGCTGCTCTCCTAAGTAAATCAGCAAAGGGGGGGGGGAGCCTTAAAGCAGCAGAGCACGGCATGTAGAGTAGGGGGTGGGTTTTGGTTCCATCCCTGTGGGTTAACAGTTAACACTCAACCCCTGCTTTATAGCTGAACCAGTGAACCTGTGCCAATTAGCTGGCTCAAAGTTGCATGGAAATAGGCGACCGCTTATGTTCTTGAGCAGGGATGACGAAGCTGTGCTCTCCAGATGTTGGACTCCCAATTTCCATCGCCACCCAAACAGGAAGGCCCATAGACCAGGGATGATGGGAGTTGTAGCCCAGCAAACAACCTAAGGGCATCTAGGGTGGGATTTAATGCTGTGCTGTTCCAAGTGGTCCACAAAGAACAATAACCCCTCCTCCCACTGTGCACTATTCTAGGGGTTCTGTCCCCACACAAAAATAATAATTTGGGGGAGGCACAGGGAAGAGAGAGGAAATCCCTGTGGAGCAAGTGGACGTCCTTGCACAGGGCTTCCTCTGACATGGCTGGTTAGGTGAATTTCAAGCCTAGATTGTAGAAGTGCTTTCTGGGTTGAGGTTTAACTGTGTATACAGCAGCCCTGAGGATTAATGAATTGTCCCAGTAAACAGCTAAGGAAAATGTAACATGAATTTTCTTTTGGGGCGCGGGGGTCTGCCTCACCTGCTTTGGTTTGTTTTAAGAGGAGACTATTTGTACAGGAATGCATTTGAAAAATGAAATGTCTGTTGCTGCTTTTTCCAATATGAAGTACTTGTGGTAAAAAAGGTCAAATACAACTAAACTTCACACCTCAGCCTCGTACAAATAAGCAACACTTGACCGAGGAAGAAAGCCACACGGGAAGAGAAAAACCACATTTAAAAAAAAAAACACCCATCAGCAACACCTTTATGTGTTAAGTTGACCATTATGAGACGGAAGTCAAGAGAGAAAACAGAGGTTTCTGAGCTTCAACTGATGAGGTTTTGAGAAGGAGCAATAGGCAGCTGTACTCCAAAATGATGCAGCTTAGGTAAGCAAGCGACTTGCATTTCCAAGACCTCATCCTGCAAACTCTGACTTGCCTTTCTTGGTTGCAGATGGGATCAGTTTCAGTTTCCTGAGCATTTCCGCTTGCACTTCCGTCACCAGATGCAGATTAGACATCTCCCGCTTCAACTCCCAGTACGCTTGCTGAACGTTTTCACTGAAACATTTTAGAAGTTACAACATTTCAGCTTTGCTGTATGTCTCAGTTCCAGTACTACTATGATCTACAAAAAGCTGCTCTAAACAAAAGTGGTTCTGGCTGGGGGGGGGGGGATCTCACAGCACTATTTAGCATGTAAACAGTTGTAATCAAAATTATTCAACCCCCATTGCAAATCAGGTTTATTAACAAAATTTACAGACTTTCAGCTGTTTGCAATGAGCAAATCAAACAAAAGCAACGGAAATTGCTCAACACCTATAATTTCTGTATACAGCAAGTTTTAACATCTAACAATCTAATGATTCAAATTCCTGAAATAGCCAGGCTAGCTTCCTGGTGTGATAATGGCCCTCTAACTATGGGTCATTAAGGTAACAAAGGAAGTGGCGCTGTGCCAGATGACAAGTGAATGAGTCCTGCTCCCTCAACATGCTGGTAGTTAGGAAAGACAAAGGCCAGAGTTGAGGGTGTGTGTGTGTGTGTGTGTGTGTGTGTGTGTGTGTGTGTGAAAGCTAGGAGCTGAAGGAAGAAGGAGGTTGAAGTCTCTGAGAAGGAGATATGTCTGATTTCTACTCACATCCAAGGCTGTGACGAAGGCTGAAGCAAGACCCGCTTGGGGTGTTAATGCTGTGATACTGTCAGTTGTAGGCTCAGGTTGTATATATGCATAAACCATATGTCTTAAAGACGGGGGTGCGGATGACACTGCGGACTAAACCACTGAGCCTCTTGGGCTTGCCAATCAAAAAGTCGGCAGTTCGAATCTGCACAACGAGGTGAGCTCCCGTTGCTCTGTCCCAGCGTCTGCCAACCTAGCAGCTTGAAAGCATGCCAGTGCAAGTAGATAAATAGGTACCGCTCCAGCTGGAAGGTAAACAGCGTTTCTGTGCACTCTGGTTTCCGTCACGGTGTTCCATTGCGCCAGTAGCGGTTTAGTCATGCTGACCACATGACACAGAAAGCTGTCTGTGGACAAACGCCAGCTTCCTCAGCCTAAAAAGCAAGACGTGCGCTGCAACCCCATAGTCGCCTTTGACTGGACTTAACTATCCAGGGGTCCTTTACCTTAACCTATATCATAAAGACACCATAGTCTCCGCAGCGTCTCATTTGAAAAGGAAACATGAACCCAGAGTAAGCACCTGGAACGCCTGGAATCTCATACAGCTTGGAGATTGGGTGAGTGTGCAACAATAAAATACTCAAGTTTGGGACCAGAAACTATATAGGTCAGCAGGAGAGAGTCCTAGAGAAGGTGAAAGGTGAAAAATGTCATTTCTCCCTGCCCACCTAAAAAAAAAAAAAAAAAAAGGCCAAACAACACACTGCTCCATTTCCAGGCTGGCTAAACAGAAGCACTCCTTTTGCAGGACAGGGATACATCCCAACAAGTAATTAACGGAATGATATTTAACCAAGTCATACTCAGAGTATGACTTAAATCCACTAATTTCAATGGATCCCCTCTAAGTATGACTAACATTGTATCACCTCCTAACTTTGAAGTGGTGTTTAGCATTACAAACCCCATGCAGAAAGAAAGCCTTATTCATAAATGGAAGAACACCTAGTTTCTGTGAAAAATGCAATTTGTAGCTTCTTGCAGAGTGCTTACAAGCACAAGACGTTGCTCTTGTACAGACTATGACAGTCTGAACTCTAGATAAAACATTGCTCTGATTCAGACTGCCCAGCACACATCCCAACCCCCCCCCCAAAAAAAACCCAGTCTCCACAGAACAACTCAGTTGCTTCTTATATTACAAAAAGGCAAGAACTCTGTTTCCCATGTGGATCAGGTCATATATTTCTGTCAGCATCCACAGAGTATTTGCATCTCTGAAAATACCCAGTCAACACGTCACTGAGAACAGAATCTGGCAGATGCCCCCTCACACTCTTTGGGTAAAGAGTTCCCCCATAAATATAGGAAACTGCTTTCACCAGTCTTTAGGAAGATAACAGATTGGCCACACTCAATGTGGACAGAGTTCTTGAGAAGCAGCATTTCAGGTAATTACAAGTATCTCCTTCAACCCAGAAATGATAGAACAGAAGTCAAGAAGCACGTAATAATAGGCAAATACACAAGTTTACAGTCAAGTAGAGACCACGATTAGTTGCAATGTTTGATGACCAGTTTAAGCAAACAGTGCACCCAACTGCTAGCTTAACTGCTAACCCTGTATTTCTTTGTTGAAGCAAGACTTTTAAAAAGCAGGATGCTGTCACACAAGGGAAACAGCTTGAATATTCTTTTCTCTCACTGATGGACTGGAGTTCCAACTGTGTGTGTCAGTATCCCTTAAAACTCTCAATTACTGCACAGTGTTCAGTTAAGACTCATTGACCAACAAGAACTATAACAATTAGGGCAGTTCTCTCCAAACTAGGAGCAGCATAATGAGTTCTGCTGCTGTGCTTTGTATGGGTGGATATATTATACCCCCAGAATTCAAATCTCAACAGAAAAATGAAGGTGCAGAATTTTGGCCTGAGACTTCGGGGGGGGGGGGGCATCAGGAATCCTGACACTCCAAACAAGCTGAAAGATATACAAAACTTTCTAGAGAGGTAATAAGGAGTGGTCAGGTGTTATATCCTGTATACACCAATATTTCTTAGTTTCACCAACAAACAGAAGCTCATAAGATGCAAGCTTTCATATGTTGCTTTTCTTTAAAGCTACTGCAGTGTCATTCAGTGTTCCTCAGTTGTGCTTTAGTTGAGATATATTAATGTGAAGTATGTTTTTTTTCCCTTATGACTCCATCATTGTAATAAAAGCAATTATTAAGAATTTGCCACCACAAATTATATCACTCTAGTCAAAATAATTCCCGTTGGCAATGAAGTCGCCCAGCCCTATCTGCAGAAGTGCTTAGCTGCTGATAAGCAACAATTCGTATTCAAAGAATCTCTTGTGTCACTGACAAGTGACAAATATTTCACAAGAATATTAGGTAAGTGAATATTGACATTCATATTAAAGCAAAGGGTACTTGCTGAAAGAAACATTTCAAAGAACTTCCTCTAGGTGTGAAAAGAGCTGTGGACTTGTTTTCACAGTCGATGTGAATTACATAAAATAGTTGGATTTTTAACATAAAAGTCTGTATGTGCTAATTTACATACCAGGCTGTTATCAGAGAGATGCTTTAAAAAAAACCACACAACTTATTTTAATAGAGTGAAGGGCTAAAAGTGTCACTTAGCAAATTACCTATTTGAACATTGTTCTGGAGAAGCAAAAACATTAGCTGGCTAGCTCATTAAGACGAATAAAGGATATACCATATGGGTTATTAACATAGTGGAGGCCCAATGAAATGCCTTTCCTTCCATTTTTTCCAATGCAAGCCACGGAATAGCGATCATGTCCTCTTCTAACCAAGTCCTACTACTCCCTCATGTGGAAAACAAGGAAAATGCATTTCTGAGGACTGAAAACATAAATAAGAATCTTACTCCTTTTCTCAATATTTAGAGGAAGAAGTAGGGCTTGGTTAGAAGAGGCGTAACTACATCAACGGCACTTTGAAGAGAGAGAAGGTCACAGATTGGGTTGTGTGCTCTCTATACTAATTGTCTCCAGGACAACTGCTCCTGTAGGTTATCTCTGTTCTGCAGCTGTACAGGTTTCTCTTGCAGTTTCCACCCAGACAATGTGATGGAGGGTTGCTAGGCAAGAAGCAATGGCTGAAAAACAAGACAGCCCTGTGCAGCACTCCAAATAAGAGCTTCAAGTAATACGTTACCACATAAAGTCTTACAGAAAGGGCAATTTAGCAATATGGTAGAGACAATGTGATGGATTCCCTTAATTTCACAAGGCCTGCATTATTTCTTCCAACGTGCTTCAAGTTTGGTTTCATCCACGTTCAATGTTGACTGCAAGCGCTAGAGAAAAGCCACTCTTTCTTATAAGTCACCTGAACTCTGACTTGAGATTTGTGAAGATGTTTCACATTAAGCTAGATCTGATGTTGCAAGAGGACCAAAGAAGAATCCAGCAAATGCCTCCGCGCGATTGAGGGGATCCCCGGCCACGTCATCCCCTGGCCAGCCAATTGGCTGGCCTAGGGGGGGCATGGCTTGCGCGATAACACACTGGTGCGGCTGGGGATCTCCCTCTTTTGCCGCCTCAGCTCAACGGGTTTCCCCCCCTCCCGCCCTTTAGGTTTTCCTTTTGACCTTGCTATGGACCTCGGTTGGGCGCCGTTAAAGGGCCTGGTAGGAATTTTTTCCACTTGGCAAATTGGCACCAGCCACTTGGTTTTTCGCCTACCTCGTAGCAAATCGTCAAAACTTCCTCGGCATTGGCAGTTTGGCATTGGTAGGGGTATTGTCATGTAGATGAAGGGGGGGAGGAAGCACCATCACCTCCCCCGAATATCGAAGGGTAGTCCGATAAAGGATTCCGGGGGGCGTGGCCCTGTCTGAAGCCTATGGAGGTGAGCGCCTAAGGCACGCCCCCAAGCGGTGACCCCGGGGGAGTTCCTAGTTGATGTGCATCAGCAGGACTCCCCCTACTGGTGGTTAACCCTTTCCAGTCTTCAAGCAATCGGGCTGAAGCCGGATAGTCGGTTAGGACCAATGCCTAAGCCAATACCGCTCATTCCTGTAACCAATAAAGTTGTGGCCATTTTTTGCCCATTAACCTAAATATTTGTGTCACGTGTCTTTATTTCCACTGGGGGGAGGCGGGAACTCGCCACGCAAAGGACTTCAACTTGCAAGCACTTAGGGGTGGAACCTCAGGGAGGTGCCTTCAGCTGCAAATAGGATTTTTGGATCCTATTAATGTGATTCACTATATAACTGTGTACTGGTTAGATTCTCATGTAACAGATATGCTGCAACCGGTTTATCATTTGCCTTCAAAATCTGAGACACTGAGTTTTATGCAATGTAGTGCTATGGTAAACATTCCATTAACGCACGGATTTCTCCCTGCACAATGGGACATTTCCTTCCCACGCATCACCTAAATTTGTTCCGGTGTTAACACTAAACCTTGCGCCAGCACAAACTATTTAGTTGCATCCTGTCCATTGCTCATAACTGGATAGGTTTCCCACAATTAACAACTTATTTTGTCAACACAGATTGCTTGTTTATTTTAAGATTTCTACTCCACATCTTTTGAACAATAAAAATCTCAGTATGCAACGAAAGAGAACATAGCAGCAGCCAATGAAGAATGAGAAAGCACAGCACTTAGTGTACTGTAAATATGGAATGTAATTCTTTTCACTCATCATCTACGCAGGGGTGCCCAAACTTTTTTCAAAGAGGGCTGGATTTGATAAAGTGAACATGCGTGAGGGCCAACCAAAGTTGTTGACCATTTTTAGGGGCTGGATTAAGCCGAACAGCGGGCCGGATTAGGCCCCTGAAACGGATTTTGGATCCTAGGGGAGCTAATTTACAGCCTTGGTGCCACCACTGAAAAGGCCCGTTCCATATAATCGCCTACTGTACTTATGATGCCAAAAGAACACAGAGCAAGACCTCCATAGATTTCCTGAGTGAATGGGTAGACTCATATGAGAGAATACGATGCTAAGATTATCTGGTCCCGGACTGCTCAGGACTTTAAAAAGGGACAAAATCTGCACTTTGAATTCAGCCAAAAGCAACTATAAGCCAATAAAGCCATCTCAAAATGCATGTTAACATGCTTTGGATAGTCCTGTCTTGCTTTTGCATACTGGGTTAACTGTCAGTTCTGAATACTCTTCAAAGGCAGCTCCACAATGAACTAGTTTAACATGCTCTACCTGGCTGTCACTAGGGTATGCCTAACTGTGTTCATATCTTTCCCAATTTAGCATGTCTTCAAAGTAGTGTCTCCTTTGGATTTAAGTAATCTCACTTAGAACTAACACAAAGATGACTAATCTAACATAAAGTTAAAACAAGTTCATGGGATCTACATACCTATGAATGCTTATCTGCTGTTGGATACACTCTCCATTTGTTAAAATTCCTTCCTGGGATACAACCTGGTGGGGGAAACAAAACATTTGGCTTTGAAAAAAGAATGGGAAAAGTCTGCCTTACTTGAAGTAAAAGGAAAAGAAAGCTTTAATAGCAAAGTTGGAAAGCTTAGCAGGCAGTGGTGAGGCAGGCTTTCAATGATATTTTTGAATCAACCAAGTGCTGATACTTCATTGCCTCCACCACAGTGGTGCCAAGTGGCATGGGACTTATTAACATGGCAAAGTAGAGTATTGGAACCTTCAAAGTCCTGCTGTAACAAGCCTGAAAACCACTTTTGGGGATAAAGCTGGTCCCCTCCATGACAACCTAGATGCTATTGTGTGATAATAGAGTTCCGGTTAACATGTTATTAGAGGCAAGAAAGCTTCCTTCAAAAAACTGAAGTCCGAACGAAAAGGAATACATATTAGCAGCGTATGTTAGAAGTATGATAACAAGGCATATAGAAGAACAAGCATTACTGTATCTGAGTTATCATGGCTTCTACAAGGGCATGTAATATCTCAAGAACCTATTAGGGTTCTTTGAGAGGGTCAAGGAGCATACAGATAGTGAGCTGGTTGACACAGTATACTTGATTTTAAAAAAATAATGAAGTAGCTCAGCCAGGATTTCTAAGAGGAGAGGTCCTCTTGTGGATCACAAATTGGTTAAGTTGCAGGGTAGAAATAAATGGGCAGTTGTCCAAATGAAGAAATTAGAAAGTGGAGTCCCTCCAAGGATCAGTATTCGGACATGTCCTTTTTAAGCTGCTCATAAACAAGAGGGAGCAGTGAGATGGGCAGGTTTCCTGACGATATTAGATTGTTCTGGGTTGTTAAAGCAGAAAGAATTTCAGAGGGACCTCTACAAATTTAGAAAATGGGTGGGAAATGGAAAATGCAATTCAGTGTAAGAAGTATAAAGTGATGCCGGTTAGGACAAAAAAATATTAATTCCACATATATGCCTGGCGGGTCTGAACTGGTGGTGACTGACTAGGAATGAGGGTGTCAAAGCTGACAACATGAGGAAGACATCAACCTAGTAGGTGGCAGGTGTGAAAAAAAGGCAAATTCCATACTAGGGATCACTAGGAAATGAACTGAAAAGGAAATGTTATCAAAGAAACGTATGGAGCAGCTGCATTTGTAGTAGTACTGTAAACAGAATTTTTAAAAAGTACTTTTAATGGGATAAGTAATGTATGTTGACTTCTCTTCCAATTTGTGATTGATATTCAATAGGTCTGGTGTGTGAGAACAATTCTAGTCCTTAACCCTGTCAAGGTTAGTTACACCACCAGAGTCACATGTGAGTAGGGCTCATTTGATTACTATCATAAAAAAGGATCACTCACACAGGCTAATCACATTAGATAAACTACATGTGCAAAAATCCTTATTCAGAAGCTAGTGACAGCTGCAGTTATCCATTCTGAATTTTCTTCCAACCAGCGGTTTCATTCTAAAAAATCAGAACTTCCTAGCTGTCAATAGTGCTTGCACTTATCTCCAATATAATCATAGTGATTATAGGGTGAACTTGCTTGAGTCATACTACACTTACAGATGGGAGTTTACCGAAGTAGAATAGCGTGACCGTGTGACAAGAACCCACACGTAATGAAATTACGTTTCAATCAGCTTCTACAGGGAAACAACTGGAAGAAAGGATTATTTATGAATAATCCCACCCAAATCAGCAGAACCCATAAATAAGCGCCATAAATTACATGCTCAGTTCAGCAAATTTTAAGCAATGGGATTGAAAAGGAGCCAGTTTCGATATCTGCAGGGCTAGCTAACAGGAATTCAAGTCAACATCTTGTGCTTAGCTCCATCTAGTGGAGCTTCTTGAAATTTGCAATCTAGTTTCTGCTATGTGAGAGACATTTATGTTAAACTGAGTTGTCATGTTAAACCAAAATAATGGTAGATGTAATCAGCAGATTCACAGATTAGCCATCAAACAAAACCGATGTGATAGACAGGGCCATGACATTCTCTTTGCCATCCCTCCCAGGCTGTTGGCAATTCATCCTTTGCGGCTTTAAAACCAATTGAGACTGCAAGTTGAGGTAGCACCTACTAATGTGTGTAGTTATCTAGGCATGAGGCGGCCAGAAAAATCAGCATCAAAACAGAGCAGAGTAGCATATCCACTGCATTCCCCTCATGCAGATAACTAAGTACTAAGGAGGAAAATACACTATAGTTGTATGAACACATTTAGCAGATAACTGGCAAGAATTAAAAAAAACCTGAACAAACTATTAGTTCTGCAAATGCAAATAACTCTGGGAGGGTGACAGAGGGCTTGCTCAATCACATGGCGAACCTCTTTTGAAAAGACTACCTTCAAAAGCAGTTTGGCATGGAAGTCAGAAGCTGAAAATCTTTAAAAGTCTTTTAAAGCCTTTAGGTGTGCATCACAACAACTGCCTCAGCCCTGGCCAATAATACCCTTATTACAATTAGTCTTCCACAACAGAAGGGCACCAACATTAAATTTTACATTTTCACACACCATCTCCGCAACAGAAGCCATAACGCGCTAGTACCTTCTGAACAGATTTTTGTAGTTCTTTTCTAAGATCATTGCATTCGTCCCTCAGCTTCTCCAAATCCTGCTCCAAGCTGTGCACTTTTAGGGCATTATTCAGCTTTTCTATTTCCCAGCTAGATGGGGTAGAGTTCAGACTCTTCATCACTGCAAAGAAATATGAAAAAAAGCCACTTATCATTCAGTCAGAACATAATCAGGCATTAAGAATGGCGTGGTTGGATTCAAAGTTATGGTCCCATGAGCATAGCAAAGGCCCAAAATTCAAACCTTGGACGTTTTTGAATTTAATTAGAGTGATCACATTATTAAGAAACATGTGGCACTGGAATAATTCACAGATGTTCATATGTACAAAGAAGACCATGTATTACGTTATGTGTCTTTTGTAATATGCTATAGGCTGTACATGTGGCTCATTTCAAAGTGCTGGTTTTGACCTCTGAAGGCATTCATTACTTAGGATAAGGATACCCAAATAATAAATAATGATGTATTTATTTATTTAATAATAATAATAATAATAATAATAATAATAATAATAATAATAATAAATATTATTATTATTATTATTTATACCCCACCCATCTGGCTGGGTTTCCCCAGCCACTCTGGGCGGCTCCCAACAGAATATTATTATTATTAATAATAAAACAACAAAACATCAAACATTAAAAACTTCCCTAAACAGGGCTGCCTTCAGATGTCTTCTTAAAGTCAGATAGTTGTTTATTTCTTTGGCATCTGAGGGGAGGGCATTCCACAGGGTGGGCACCACTACCAAGAAGGCCCTCTGCCTGGTTCCCTGCAACCTTACGTCTTGCAGAGAGGGAACCGCCAGAAGGCCCTCGGAGCTGGACCTCAGTGTCCTGGCTGAACGATGGGGCTGGAGATGCTCTCAAAGAACATTTTATCTCTGTGTGTGCTACCATTCACCCAAGAGCCTTCTTTGGAAGCACCAAACCTCTGAGGCACAGATTACAGGGGAAAGGCTATACATGGTGTTGGCACAACCATAAAATGCTCTTCCAGGTGGCCTTACCTGGCACATACCTCAGTGTCATTTTGGCACAAAGCAAGCATCTTATTTTACCATGCTTTTTAATCCTGCAGACAAGCTCCTATGCTGCTTGGTATTTGGTTATAATTTGGTATTTGGTTATGGCATTTTATGTTATTGTACTAACAGCTTCTGTTTTGTTTTTACTGTAATGTTAATGTTTTGTAAGCCACCCTGGGAACTTATTGAAGGGCTGGGAGTAAAAATCAAGACTTTTTAAAACAACATATTTTTCTGAAAGGGCTTTGGAATGTGACTTTAAACTGACGGTTTGACCAATTTTATTATTACACCTGTGCTGTATTTTGATGTTGCACACCACTTTACTAATTTTCCTATGCAAGCAGTGTTAGTTTTGACAAGGTGTAGTAAGATGTGGAGGGAAGATTTCAACGTGCAAGAAGCGGCAGTTAGATCAGTGCAAACATATGGCAGAAGTACATTCTTGCATTGCAATGTTTCAGCTACTATGGTGCCTATGGCACGAACACGTGATTTCCTTGCATAATCAGTCCACATCAACAAGTTGTGTGCAGGGCTGATGTAAACATAAAAGCAAAAGCAAAAGGTTTCTTCCCATTGCCAGAGGTCAACTCAGGAGGTATTTCTGGGAATTCCCAGATATGCACATGCACTTCCTGTATGAGAATACACTGTCAATGCTAACTGGAGCATGCAAAGGGTGTTGCTATATTAATGTAACACCCAATGGTAATGCCAAAGGATTAATATGGCTAACAACACAGACCCTGCTCCTTGCTACCCTGGCAGACCAAGGAACATTGTGGAAAGGGAGACCTTGGGGTCTGTTACAGCAGAAAAGCTCTCTCTCTCTCTCTCTGTACATATAATATATACCGTATTTTTCGCTCTATAAGACACACCAGACCATAAGACGCACCTAGTTTTTGGAGGAGGAAAACAAGAAAAAAAATATTCTGAATCTCGGAAGCCAGAACAGCAAGAGGGATCGCTGCGCAGTGAAAGCAGCAATCCCTCTTGCTGTTCCTGGCTTCTGGGATAGCTGCGCAGCCTGCATTTGCTCCATAAGACGCACACACATTTCCCCTTACTTTTTAGGAGGGAAAAAGTGAGCCTTATAGAGCAAAAAATACGGAATATGTATAGAGAGAGTAAACTATAACTATATAGTTTGAAAAGTTGTATGCCCTTTGTCTGTTCTTTATGCATTTGGATACTCTTCAAGCTACTGCAACCAAATTTTGTATGATGGTTCCTTGTATCAATGTTTTCATCTATGTTTGGCTACAACCGGCTGCCATTCTGAATCAAGATGGCAGACTGAAACTGCCAAAACTGCACTGATTTTAACAACTTACTTTTAAAAACTATTATTTTGCGGTTTCTCAGAATTCCAAAAAAGCGCACGCACGAACGCCCCTACCCGTCCCAGCATTGTGAAGCAATGCATTACTTGGCAAAGTTAACAGCCAAGATTATGAACCAGAAAGAGGGCCTTCTCGGTAGTGGCACCCCCCCCCCTAATGAACACCCTCCCATCAGATGTCAAGGAAATAAACAGCTATCTGACTTTTAGAAGATATCTGAAGGGAGCCCTGTTTAGAGAAGTTTTTAATGTTTGGTGTTTTATCATGTTTTTAATATTCTGTTGGGAGCCACACAGAGTGGCTGGGGAAACCCAGCCAGATGGGTGGGGTATAATTGGTATTACTATTATGAAGTTGCTCTTGTAATTATAAATGGGGGCTACAATGTCAAGGACTGCTTTCTATTTCTACTGTTTCACTATCTATTTAGCGCTGGCTTTTGACGTTAGCGCTGTTATAAGTAGAGATTTTACGTTTTACACAGTATTCAGCTTTTTATTTTTAGCTATGTTGCTCAAAATGTTGATTATAAATCTTTCAAAATAAAACACATAAATGAAACTGACAGGGAAAAGGAGGCAGGGGCAGCATATGCAGACCCATCCTCTCCCTCACACAGCCATAATTGTCTGAGAATGAACACCAAAATGTTTTGCTTCTGAACAGTGATCTGTAATAATATTCCTTTATGCAAATTGAACACGTTAGCATACTGTATTTTTCGCTCTATAAGACGCACCAGACCACAAGACGCACCTAGTTTTTGGAGGAGGAAAACAAGCAAAAAAATATTCGAATCTCAGAAGCCAGAACAGCAAGAGGGATCGCTGCGCAGCGAAAGCAGCAATCCCTCTTGCTGTTCTGGCTTCTGTGATAGCTGCGCAGCCTGCATTCGCTCCATAAGAGGCACACACATTTCCCCTTACTTTTTAGGAGGGAAAAAGTGAGTCTTATAGAGCAAAAAATACGGTAAATGTATGCATACTGGCTACAGGCCTTCTTATACGGAAGTACAGCTTCGTAGTCAAGCACATAAATTTACACTCTGAGAGACAAGGGGCACCTTGTTGAGTTTCCACTTCAGTTCTGAGCTGCAGGAGCTCCACTTCTTTGGACTGCAACTGCTCATTCAAATGTTTCAGGGATTCGGTGTTCTCTTTCATCTAGTTCGGGGAAGGAACACATTGCCAGGATTTAGTCTGTCCAGCTTTCCAATCAATAATAAAATCCATACATGCCTAACTCTTAGAACTAAATGCTAACCAGCTCTACTTCTTGAAGAATCGGCCAAGCTGTCAGATGCTCGCTTTCTAAAGCACTGAAGTCAAGATCAGATATACATGCTGCAACCTTTCAGAGTACGAAAAATAGCACTTTTTCTTCAGGCACAATACCAGATCCCGTGGCTATTAGGTAAGGCTCTCCAACTGAGCTCAATTAGTTAGCAGGTTTTCCAAATTAACTACCCCTTTTCTTTGTTTGTTATTCTTTGCTTTTATCTGTTCTTTGCCTTCTCTACACCACATGGGGTTTTTCCTCCAGTTGTCGCTGGCTGCACACTGCATCACTGGAAGGATTCTGTAATCTGAAACTTCTACGGTAAACTTCCTTTACTGGTGAACGCAGGTGGTTGAGTGTTGACAGAGTTGGAGCCAAATGTGCCCACTCAAAGACGACTGAGACACGAGAATAGCTGGGTGACTTCTGAAGAATGCAGAAGTAAAAACACGCACACACAAAATTAAAACCAAAAGGTTGCCAAAGAAGAAAAGGAAAAAGGAAAACTTTTAAAAAGGACCAAGCATGCTCAGTGGCCTCCAGTAACCAGAGATAACTGAGTGTCAATTGGAAAAGAAAATAGCACCTCAGAGAGGGAGAGTAAGCAGGGAAGAGTGATCTGGCCTGCTTGAGTCTCTTACACCTTAGAGCAGGGGTAGGGAACCTGGTACTCTCCCGATGTTGTTGGGCTACAACTCCCATCATCCCTGACTTCTGCCGATGCTGGGTGGGGCTGTTGTGCAAGCGGGGATTATTGAGTTGTCTTTTTAATTACATACAGCCATACCTTGGTCGTCGAACGGAATCCCTTCCGGAAGTCCGTTCAACTTCTGAAAACCAAGGCGCGACTTCCAATTGGCTACAGGAGCTTCCTGCACTCAAGCGGAAGCCACGGAGGATGTTCGGCTTCCAAAGAACATACAGAAACCGGAACGCTCACTTCTGGGTTTGCAGCATTGGGGAAACAAAACATTTGAGTCGCAAGGCATTCGGGATCCAAGGTACGACTGTTATTTTGTAGGGGGGTTTTATATTGTGATTTTAAGTTGGAAACCACCCCAAGGTATAGGGTGGTATACTAATTTAATAAAACAACATCATCTTTAAAAACAACAATATTAACATCTGGAGGGCCACAAACTCCCTACCCAGCTTAGTATCACAGAATTGCAGAGCTGAAAGGGGCCCTGAGAGTTCTCTGGTCCAAACCCCATGTGATGCTGGCGTAACTGGCTAGAAACCCAACATCAAAGTCACAATATCCTTTTATAAACGGCATTCGCATGGTATCTTTCTTTTAACCTACTGCAAAGCACGTACCATTTTATCCAGTTTACTTTTCAGATTATCCCGTTCGATACAAGCCTCTCGATAGGCTTGGTAGGCTTTGTTAACCTGCTCGCGGCCAACGGAGCTTGCGCTTTCTTCCAAATGGGAGCCAAGAACCTAGACGATTAGAGGAAAATGCCAAAATTACATTTTTCCTAGCTTTGTTACTCTTAGAGCATCAAATTTAAATACTTCAAGTGAAACAAATTAACTGGCAGCCAGGAAAATGGGTTTACCATGGGCTCATTGTAGACAGCATCAGCTTTGCATACAGAGCAGCTCAGGATCAATCCCCAGCATCTCCCAGTATAGCTGGGGGAGAACCTGCTCTGAAATTCCAGATAGCTGCTGCCGGTCAGAGTAGAGAGAACTGGGCTACATAAACCAATGGTCTGACTCAGCAGAAGACAGCTTCTTGCATTATGGTGCATAATTTTTTTATTAAGAAGTCTCCTACCATCCCCTTTGTGTTCAATTATCCTACTCGTTGCTAAAGAACAACCAGGTACTAATTATAATCATACCAGAAAAGTAATGTTTTGCTACTGAAATGTTTGGCAATTACTATTTTCACATGTAAAGTGCACAGGGAAATCCCAGCCATATCTACAATGGGTTCCATAGGAATCACTCCCAGCTAAGTGTGCATAGCGCTGCAGCCTTAAGATACTTTATCATTCCCCCCCCCAAAAGGCATGTTTCTATGAATTGCTAAACAGTTACTTACCTTTTCTTCTAACACTCTTACTCTTTTCTTTAAGAGGGAGTTCTCCCTTTCTGTCTCTTTCAGTCGTTTTTTGATATCTTCATAAGCAGTGACAAGTGCAAAATGTGAAGCAACAGACTCTTCGCCTGAATACACGGGAGTAGGAATTTCTCCATCTTGCTTAGGATGAGTGTCTGCTTTTTCATGGTTCAAAATATAAATGTCATCTTCAGCTAGTTCATCCATGGCAGCTGAATAAAAAAGGCATGTTGTTAGGAAAGATCCTAAGTATATATCACAAGCATTTAATATCTTTCAAATTGGAAGAAATGCTGTAGAGCACTTGTTATAGTTTAGCCTTTACCAGAAAATATCACCTCAAGCTTACAGTAGATTTCCCACTATAAAATTCTGAAATGGCTCTCAGATGACGGTAAAGTATTGATGATAAAAAATAGCTATTTGATTTTGTTTTTTTATCTAGAACATATTGGAAGGGTTCCTTCCACAAAGCTTCCATTAATATGCTATAATACAGTGGGCAAGCAGGGGTGGGCATTTGAAAGTGAGCCGTACAGCTTAGAATCCATACAGCATCAATACACACTTCAACTGAAATCTGATTCTAAACCAGCCAGTTGATTCCCCCTCTCCCTACAGATTTAGTGTTTATTTTTCACTCTTGGCGAGCTACATCTAGCTTTGATTCAGTTTGAATGCATATTTTGAAATCCACTCATGGTGTTGAAATGCCTATTCCGAAGTTTAGAAGGGAAAGAGAGGGTCCAGGGAATTTCCTTTTGGTGCAACTTCCTTTTGGTGAGATCAGAGCATAATTTAAACACATACATAAACCACAACCTCCTCCTTTCATGAAAAAATAAAATAAGCTAATGAGAAATGCTAGGTTACCTCTAAAACAGGAAGTTCAAGAGAGCATCAGTTTCCAACTTGTTTTAGTAAATAAAGTGTTCGAATCAGATGTTTACAGTGCTCTTAGACAAGAGATGCAAGAATGCTGTATGGTGGAAAGGACGGTAGCTCAGTTGGTTAGAGTGTGGTGTTGATAACACCAAGGTTGCAGGTTTGATCCCTGTATGGGACAGCTGCATATTTCTGCACTGCAGGGGATTGGATTGGATTATCCTCAGGGTCCCTTCCAACTCTACAGTTCTATGATCTCAGAATTTTAAGTTGAAAAGAAGGACTGTTTGAAAATATTTGTCTGAGAAATGGGATTCTGCACAACACATGTAACAATATCTAATGTTATGAAAACTTTACATTGCAGTTGTTGATGAGATCTCTGGATTAGATCTCATTTCAAAAGTTCTAAAGTTATATCATGGTCTGGAGAAGCAAAGCTTGGGAACAAGAGTCTAAAAAAAAATAAAAATCTTCTAATGATAGTACTGTTTACATAAGAACTTCTTCAACTAAACATTCCCGGAGTAAGAGCCAAGTCTTAGAGAAAAAATATATCCTCACCAAACCCCTTCGGCTATTTGCGCCCATGTCAAAGTCTCAAGTCCTTTCCTATTTTACATAGATGTTGAGTTTTCTGAACAGTATATGGTGCATGGGCTAGCTCCAACTTTCTTCCCTTTTTTTGGCAAGGGAGGGGGAAGGGTGCCAACTTGACCTAGTAAAACTCCTTATCTTTCTTAGGTGGGAGGTTGGAGAAGAAAAATGAACGCACAGCTGAGAAACCATCCCAGAGTCTCCTGCAACTTCACAAGCAACTGTAAAGTAAGTCACTTGATTTAAGAATAGACACAAAGCAGTCGAGACTAGAAGCAGAGGTCAGTAGTTTTGGAAAGAAACCTCGACAGTTGCTTTGACCCATTAAGGCGAGAGAGAAATGAAAGTGCTCTTTGGGCATAAACTGTGGGCAAAGACTTCTGTTCTTCCCCACTGATCTCCAATTCCAAGTGCCACAAAGCTGACAAGGAGAGGGGTATGAAGCTATAGATACAGGAAGAAACATTGTAGACTGTTTTACAGAATTGTTTTTTCCTATGTAAATATTTCAAGGCAAGGAAAGCAAGTGTTGTGGGTCACATTAAAAGTTTAATTCAACATACTGAATAACTTAGTGAAACACTTCTATTAAGTTGATTAACATGTCCTTTAAAACATGTTGTGTGTTGGGGGTTATTGTTTTTGCTCCAGTTTTTATGTCTTTTTATGATGTGAATGGCCCTGAGATCTTCAGGTGAAGGACAATATACACATCTATATTCACACACACATAGCAGGCAGTCAAGTGTGCATCATCACAAAATTTGTCCCAGCTTCCCAGTCTGTAGCAAAAACAAGCACATTTCTTCAGCTTTGTAGGGCCATTTGCAAGATGTCAGCTTCCCACCACGAACAAGACCTAGAAAGGCTCCACATTCTTAAGGCCAACATAGCGAGATGGGATGTTTGCCAGAGCTGCGACACTTCACACGACCGAGCATTTATTTAAGACACGCACGTTATTAAAACAATACCAAGGTGCTGCACCACACACTTAGGTGCAGCAAAACCATTCAATAAAAACCGCATACTGCAATTACAGTAAGAGGGGATCGTTCCAGCTGGCATGGGGAGGGTGGGGAGAGAAGCTGGAATCAATCGTTTGTCTTTAACAGCTGGATTCTTCCATATGGTTCCCAACGTGGGGCACACGCCACGCAAGGGGGCAATTTGATTTTTAAGGGGGGCAATTCGAGAATGAGTTATTAACAGTGGCTTCCTCCACGTGAATAGTTCACTTTTTGAATAATAACCATTATATGTCGCGGGGGGGGGGGCAAATCGGGATTTTAGAGATGCTTAGGTGAGGCACAGCCCCAAAAAAAGTTGGGAACCACTGTTAAAAACCCATGAAACTCTCTACACACATCGGCAGCACATTAAAGGGAGGGAAAGGGCTAGGCGAGAGGTTCACGGACGTGCTAGTTTCCTCCATTCGCTTGTTTTGTCCAGAGGGCGGCTTAGGCCGCCTGCCGTCCGAAAAGCACACCATGGAGCGCTACCTTCCATGCGACATGGCGGGACTTTAAGCGTAAATGTGAATTATATGAGCCACCCCCTCTCCCCCCACCCACCCACTCGCCTGCCTACGTTTTGCAGCAGTTGCATCCAGACACGGGTTTGTCCTGCCCCGTCTCGTGAGAAACAGGCCACGATCTGGTGGTGGGCGTTGCGAATTGCGGGGGAAAGGGACGCGGATGCCCCCTCCCCCCCCACCAGGTATACTAGGGATGGCGGGGGGGGGAGCTGGGGGGTGACCGAGGCGAGCGGGCGCAGGAGGTGCGCCGTGAGGGGGAAAGGGGTATTACCTGCAGCCAGCGAAGGGTTACCTGCGGACAGCGAACTCATCGCGGGCCTTTCCCGGGGCTCCCTCCCTCAGCAGCGCGACGGGGCCCCCGCTCCCAAGCCCCCGAAGCTCTTCCTCCTCCGCCGCCGCCGCCGCCTCTCGACGCTCATCGTTCTCCGCCCAGCCCGAGAGTAGAAGCAGCAACAGCAGCGGCCGCGGAAGGAGCAGCGGCGGCAGCAGCCAATAGCGGAAGAGCCCGCAGGAGCCCTTTTCCCTTTCCCTTTCTCTTCCCCGCCTCCCTCCACGCAGCGCCGGCTTCCGCCCAATCTCGCCCGCCTCATGTGACCCTTCACAACGGCCGCCGCCCCACCTGGAAACCAAAGCCTCGCGACGGCCCGAGCAAAGAAGCGAGGCACGTCGGGATTTGTAGTCCCACGCGGCTCCGTTCCCCTTTAACTTTTGCGCGAGGGTTAAACGGACGGCGAAGGGCGCTGTTCCCAGCGTGCAGCGCGGGCGCGCGGAGCATGGCGGGATTTGTAGTGCCGAGTTTCTGTCAGGGCTTCGTCTCTGGGGAGGTCGTGTCGTGAGGGGAGGCTGTTTCTCGTCTCTTAATGCCACGGCCGCGTCCACCCTGAGTGGACTCACTGGAATGCGTGCGGCTTACTCGCGAGTAGGCATGCATAGGTCTGTAGTGACAGGATGCTCCCAGACAAAGGGCTTGGGTGCTTGGTTTTGTTTTATTTTTAAAACACTTCTTCTTTATAATGCTTTGTAGTCGAGAGGATTCCATAAGCCGTAAAATATTTGCAGCAAGACAACATTTAAAATAATAATAATTATAACAACAACAACAGGCATAGCGCTTGGGAGACCATGGTGCAAGTCTCCCCTCAGCCATAAAGCTCGCTAGGTGACCTTGGGCCAATCACCATTTCTCAGACTAGCCTACCTCTCAGGGTTGTTGTGAGGATTGAAATGGAGAGGAGGAGAACCTTAACTCCTTGGGAGAAAAGGCAGCGTATAAATGTAATGAACACCAACACCCATAGCAGCCGCAGGCCAATGCCCGGGAAAATGCTTGGGCAAACTAGTGCTTTATATATATTTATTTATTTGGTTTGTCAGATTAAAGTTTTACTATCACATATCCAACATACAACATAAAAACAAGATTCCAAACTATCTCCTGGACTTCCCTCCTCCCCTTTGTGGGTCCTATTGTAAATCATTTCCTCCTGCATATTTTATAATATAATCCAAATCTTTTACATCTCCGTTATGTCCAAAATTCACCGTCAAACTACAAGTGTTATTCCAATCCTACTAAGAATTTTAGCTGTTTACAATGGTTTTTAAGGTAAATTATAAATTTCCTCCATTCCTTGTTAATATTTTGGTCTTCTGATTGTTCTGGTCAAAAAAAAAAAAGGCAAACTAGTGTGTTTTAAGCATGGGCTGGAAACTATGTAGTTATTGGATCTAGTGTGGTATAGTGGTTAAGAGCAGTGGACTCGTAATCTGGTGAACCGGGTTCGCTTCCCCGCTCCTCCACATGCAGCTGCTGGGTGACCTTCGGCCAGTCACACTTCTCTGAAGTCTCTCAGCCCCACTCACCTCACAGAGTGTTTGTTGTGGGGGAGGAAGGGAAAGGAGATTGTTAGCCGCTTTGAGACTCCTTAGGGTAGTGATAAAACGGGATATCAAATCCAAACTCTTCTTCTAACTTTACCTCGGCTAGGAGAGTATTTCACAAGGTAGCTGCCACCACAGAAAAGGCTCTCCTGGTTTCCATAGTTTGGGGCACAATCAGAAAAGTGCCGGCTGAAGATATTGGTGAACGGTGGCAGGTCTATATTAAAGAAGGCGTTCTCTCAGGTAATCTGGTCCAAGTTACTGCAAATGAATCATTCAGATGCCACAAACAGGCCACTGGCATACTATGAAAAAATAATAATACTGGCTTTTATTTTGATGCTGAGGATACATGGAAGTTGTAAAAAAAAACTTACATGCGTGAGCAGCACCAGCCCATCTGGAAGCACCCTAAATCACCCGAGTTCCCAGAATAAAAACCCATCTAGAAACACCTGAAGTCACCTGGCTTGTTTTAAACCGGTCTTCAACAAGCTGATGCCTTCTATGTCTTTTGGAATCAGTCCCAGGCATCGTAAAAACTTCCAGACATGTCAGCTTGGTCATGTGGGGAGGAAGGGGAGCAATTGAGCCCAAGGCTTGCAGCTTATTCATGTTATGCTATACTTGTCATAGTGCAGCAAGAGATCTTGGCTGGATCATCTGTGCAACCAAGCTCCACACAAGGAAGTCAATCAGGCAGGTGGTCGCTGCGGAAAACTATTTCCCAAGCCCTAAGCTTGATATGTTTTCTGAGCATAAGGCTGGCAAGGCTCCTTGTGCTGCAGTTCCGAAGCACCTGGCAACCGGCTGGTTGGGACAACTTACCTGCCAGTTGCCAGGTGTCATCATGAAATCAGATGACTGACAAGTGGGTTGACTGCCCACATGTCAAAGCTGACCCACAGGGGTGGAGACAGATGACAATCTGGTCCACCAGGCCAAAAAGGTGTGCTAAACCAAGGCTTAGTGCGGTATTTTAATATGACCAGTGAGTTGAAAAGTACGGCTTGAATTTGCAGCTTGCAGCATGACAACCTAAATACACTCCTAAAACAGAATATTTATTTATTTTTGCATAGAATGTTCATTCCCATCTTTTGTGGTATTGAAATGGTAGACAAAATATGAAAGCGATACACCTCTTGCCCACCAGTTTTTGAGTCTCCCAGTCTCTTCACTGAGCTGTGTGGGTCATCATCTGCTTCATCACCAGCCATTTGTACTCATTTTGTCTCAGCTGGGACATCATCTGCTTTACTACTATCTCTAGTCTCTAGCTTTCTCCTAACCAAGGATTCCACTTTATCTGGGTAGAACCTCATATTATGGCCCTGTTTCTATCATCCTTTTCGGCCTACAATAGCCATGGTTTTTAGTGAGCAATGGTTTCTAGCCACACAGCCATCAGTATGTGATGAAGATCAATCACTGCTGATCACCGTTTGCTAGGGCGAGAGTGAGGACCCACGGTGGCTCTCCAGATATTTGAGTTCAATATCTGGAGTTCAAACTCCCATGAGCCCACTAAGCTGTCACTACGGCATAAGCTGTCATAGGGACGCAGGTGGCGCTGTGGTAAAAGCCTCAGCACCTAGGGCTTGCCGATCGAAAGGTTGGCGGTTCGAATCCCTGCGGCGGGGTGCGCTCCCGTCGTTCGGTCCCAGCGCCTGCCAACCTAGCAGTTCGAAAGCACCCCCGGGTGCAAGTAGATAAATAGGGATCGCTTACAAGCGGGAAGTAAACGGCGTTTCCGTGTGCGCTCTGGCTCACCAGAGCAGCGATGTCACGCTGGCCACGTGACCCGGAAGTGTCTCCAGACAGCGCTGGCCCCCGGCCTCTTGAGTGAGATGGGCACACAACCCTAGAGTCTGTCAAGACTGGCCCGTACGGGCAGGGGTACCTTTACCTTTACCTTAAGCTGTCATAGAGTAGAGCCCACTTCATCAGATGCATGGAGCATGCTCCCAACTTACCATATGCATATAAAACATGATTATAAAGGAAGGGAAAACGTAAAGGTTGGGGTTAAATGGCAATATAATGCAAATACTCGACAACTGAGTTAGCACTTGTATGCAAAATGACTTTTCACAGAAACAGTAAGTAACTGGTTGTTATAACAACCAACAGCCTGTGGAGGGTTGCAGGCTTTTCATCCTTGTGCTAAGGGAAGGAAGGTGTCGGTGCAGTCATTTATTATTCACAGTCTTCATTTCTAGGAATGGTATAGTGATGAAGGGTTGTTGGCATTTAATTTTGGTATCTACTATGTTCTCTTAAAGTTTACCCCTTCCTGACCCCTTTTGCATAATTTTTCTTCATAAATGTTTTGACTAGTAGATGTTCTACTTTACCCTGGAAATAGGTCAATACGTGCTAATTTTCTGCAGTTTCCATCAAGCTGCAGTCAACTATCACTTGCTTTTGAGAGCTTAGCTAGGGCTTTACGATTAATGGAGTTTAATAGTAGCTATTTGTTTTGGGGGTTTTGGATTTGTGTTAATTTGATCCTGTTCTTTTCTTTATATTTCAGAGGACACAAGTATTCATCAAGCTGTGACCTGTAAGAGTGAAGATCCTATATTATATGGATTCTATAACAGAGCATAATTTTTATTTAGATAAAGTATGGGTGCAGTGTGAGAACAGCAGCTGTTTAAAATGGAGACTCTTATCACATGATGATGCAACGCATATTGCTCCTAATGAACCTTGGTATTGTTATATGAATCCTGATCCTTGGTTTAACAGCTGTTCTGTTTCTGAAGAACATTTTCCAGAGGAGTCTCAGTTTCAAAAACATGGATTAAAATATGTGTATTCAAAGCTTCCTCTAGGAAGCTTAGTTTTGGTGAAAATGTACCGGTGGCCAAGGTAAGGTTTTAAAAAGTTAACATTTAATTGCAGGTAACACAGATTCGCTATATATTTTGAATGCAGTAGTCTGAGAAGACATAAAACAATTCTAGCCTTGAAGAATGGGGGACAAAACAATTTTCCATTCTACTTCAGTTATTCTGTTCTGATATTGTCTCAGGAGGCCTAGTTAAAAAGTATACCAAAACAGTATGCTTCAGAAAAAAATAGGAGAAAGTGGAAAACAAGTTTGTTTGTTTTGTTTGTTTTAAAAAAAGATTGTTCATGATAAGCACAAGCAAATGTTACCTCCAAACTTGTGACAAGAACAAGGAAAGGAAGTAGGGGAGCAATCCTATATTCCCCACAAGGCTGGCTAAAGAGTCATAGGATGTGGCAGAAATGCTGCTCCACCAGCAGAAAGAGTATTGTGCCAGCAGGTCAGCCCTGGAGGTTCCTCTCCAATGTACCTGTGAAAAGTTCAGTGAGTGTAAATGTACCACTAGCATTGTTCCCACTAGTGGTGGGCTCCAAAATGAGGTATTCCAACAGCTTGTCAGGCATGGGCTTGGACCTAGACGACTAAAGTATTCCTCATTCTCTCAACATGCCCCCAAAGTGAGCCTTTAACTATGACAGTCGAGCTGGCATGGTTATTTTAGGATTTCATTTTATTTTTTTACAACAGGATGAGAACATCCATGTACACACAGCTTCTGCCTGGCCATGCCAAACTAGCAGGCTGTGGATTTGTGAATGCTGTACTGCAGATCCCCATCCCCATCAAGTACATAGGATTGCTCTGCAATGTGCCTTTATTTTGAAAGACAAGTTATTAAAGATCCCTGTGCTGATGGGTGGGTGTGGGTGGGTGTGTAACGTTGCCAGTTATTGATGTTTCTGACTAAAAATAATTTGGGAGCATGTGTATTATATGCTTTTTCTTTCCTTGAACTGATTTTTTAAAAACATTTTATTTTAAGATGGCCTGCCATTCTTTGTCCTGATCCTACAAATGGACAGTATGTAACATACGACTCGGATGGAGATGTTGAAAGTCATCATGTAGAATTCTTGGGAAAACCCCATTCTAGGAGCTGGGCTGCTATAAAATATATTAGCGTTTATCCTAGCTCATTTAAGGTAGGAGTTTTTTAACTGTATTTTTTTTCTCATTGATCATAACTTTAAAACCACATAATACATATCTGCTAGATATGAACTTCCCTCATAACTAAAAAACAAAAACAAAAAACACCTCATAGAAGCAGAATGTTGGGATTGAAAATTTAGATTTGTCAACAAACTCTTTAGGGTTATACAGAACACCCAGAAGCATTACCTCTGACTTATAGATTCCAATGTACGGCAGCTTACACCTACCACTTGAATATTCAGCAAGGTAATTTTTGAAAAAAAACTGGTTTTTATTTATTTATTGCTTGCTTTATTCTAGGCATTTGTACCCCAACAGCTGGTGAATTATTAGGCCAAAATTCCACCGATCCTCTCTTTGGAGTAGCTGGAGAAACGAATTTTGTTTCTCCATTTCTCCAAAGGATGGTTGGTACTGTCAGAAATGACTTCACCCATTTGTTAAATAATACACAGATTCAAACTTGCAAGAATCACAGTTCTGGTTGGTGGCTGTAGATTTATTTTGAAAATTCCATACACTTCTGCATGGAAAAGGTTCTGCTATTATAAGCCTTAAAAAATCTATGTAAATGGCATATATTGAGCTAATAATGTGAAGCCTGCTGGACCTGATGGGGTCTGTAAATGTACCAAATTCTAAATTGATCTAAAGAAAATTGCCACAGATGCAGCAACTTTCACGAAAACTACAGATGCACTTTATTCAGGTGCTGAGGAAGGCAATCTTTCACTGGTTTGATGAGGTTCTGAGCAGCGATAAAAGGGTTATTAAGATTTTCATGCCCCATCATTGAGGGCTGTAGCAGCAACTGTGGGCAAAAAAAGGAAGATAGGATATGCACAGATTGATTTTTTAAGCAGAATTTTTGCCAGGATTACAACAGTATACAGTGGTACCTCGGGTTACATACGCTTCAGGTTACATATGCTTCAGGTTACATATGCTTCAGGTTACAGACTCCGCTAACCCAGAAATAGTACCTCGGGTTAAGAACTTTGCTTCAGGATGAGAACAGAAATCGTGGTCCGACGGCGTGGCAGCAGCAGGAGGCCCCATTAGCTAAAGTGGTGCTTCAGGTTAAGAACAGTTTCAGGTTAAGAACGGACCTCCGGAACAAATTAAGTACTTAACCTGAGGTACCACTGTATACAGAAGCTACATACTGGATGTTGTGTGCAATGCCTATTTATTTAGTTATGAAATATGACGGGTGCAACGGTTTGGCAAGTGTTTGTCAACCTTTAGAAATCTGAGACGTATTTGGAAACCTGAGATGATTCCCTGTAACAAGATTGCTCTAGCATTGCAGTAAGGCTCTGATGCTTCATAAGGCAATACAGGACTAAGACGTGGGGCATTTTTGCTGACCCTAGAACTTCATCCTCACCATCTGGATTTGGCCTAAAAGACCAAGGAAAAGTATGGGAGCATGGAGGGTAAGTTGTAAGTAAGCACAATTTGTGATATTGCATTACATCATTATGGTGTGCATCCATTATGTGGTATATCAGCCTTAGCTTCCAGTTGCCTGGCTTTGTGAAGCCAACATGAGAGAGCCTTAAATCTGGTCCTAAACTGGATTTTAAAAATAATAGTAATAATGAAATAGTAACAGCCAGAGAGTCACAGTAATGTGGTACTCTTGTAACCCCAGACAAACATTTATTTCAAGCTCATACTGTGGCAAGGAGAATGAAGTTGACGTGGAGGAGAGCAACCAACCTTAGCTTGCAGTTTGTCTAGATAAATTCTAAAACTGGAGAATTACAGTTCATTCACTACCTTTAATGCACAAGATTTAACTTTTGGAATTCAGAACATGCTTTGCACCGACTCTAGGGTTGCGGCGCTCATCTCACTTTATTGGCCGAGGGAGCCAGCGTACAGCTTCCAGGTCATGTGGCCAGCATGACTAAGCCGCTTCTGGCGAACCAGAGCAGCGCACGGAAACGCCATTTACCTTGCTGCCAGAGCGGTACCTATTTATCTACTTGCACTTTGACATGCTTTCGAACTGCTAGGTTGGCAGGAGGGAAGGCCAACAGCAGATAGATGTTCCAATTATATAACTTTATTCCAACAGAGATTAGGCAATCCTCATCTGTTGTTAACTTTAAATTAGCTTAAAGACTCAGGTTTATTTCATTTTATGTAAGAAATTTATATACCACCCTTTGCCAAAAGGCCACAGGGTGGTTTACTGCATAGTATCATCTTAGCATGATTTAGATACATAGAATAATGTCCACAAAATACAAAAAAAATAAGAGTTATATAACTGCTTCATAATACATAGCTGGCCACAGTGTTTAATTATTCACAATGTCAACACAGCAAAAATCCACAATTTAACCCCTCCCTGCAAAATACAAGAGTCTAATAACATTATTATTTACTCATATCAGGTTCAATTGTGGAATATAATGTAACCTAAGATATTGGATGCGGTTTTCAGAGTGAGGTGTATGACTTTTTGTTTCGGTATGCTGGTCTAAATGTTTTTGGGATGGAACTGGATACATTAAACTGTTTAACATAATGTTGCTGGTGGATTTTATGGACATGTACTGTATTTGTATATGGTTGTAAAGTAAACCATTTTGAGAAACAATCTTGCCTAAAAAGCAGTCTAAACGTCTATAAAATAAAGCATGAATTAAACTGTCAACATACCTTTACTAACAGTTTTGAGCAAGTTAGCTGTCTACCAACAGATGGATTTTCCATACACATGCTAGTGTTTACGGATTTTGTTTTTACTAGTCACAAGGGCTATATGTTAGCTTCAGGATCAGAGACTGTGTATACATTTTGTTTCCTCATTTGCACATTGTTGTACATGCTAGAACAGTTGGATATGTTTCCACATCACCTGCTGTAAGTCTACATCTGTGGCTGGAGAGGGTTTTGAAGAATATACTTCAATATATTTTCATAGTCCCAAGTCAATTTATGTGGTTAGTTGCATCACGGTTGGGAAGTTTTGATTGTAACCACTTTCCCATTCAATCTGATGAAAAAACTGTACTGGTTTTAAGTTGATTTCACCACTCACTTGTGTTGAGCGGTTGTGGTGTGATGTTCTTTTACCTCCTTAATATTCAGCTGTCAGAAATGGTTTTCAAACAGCAAATGTCAAGATCCATTCGCTTTTTTATGTTATCAAAGTTAAGTGTTAGTTTTGGTACAACATAAAAATGCTGCTCAAATCTTTTCTTTTGCTCCTTTTAGTGCGGGTAAAGTTTCTTCCTATTTATTGTATGAACTCTTCTGTAGCTAAATCTCCTGCCAATCATTTAGTAGTTTGATAAAACGCCCTTAAATCTCCTCTTATTTCTGCCATTTCCACTTCAAATGCCTGCCTATCAATAAATGCTCTTCTGTCCTCTGATTGATCTTTTAAACTCCATCATATTTTTTTCTTTATTCTTCCTTTCATTCTCTACTTGGCCTGTTTTCTTTTTATGTGACATTGCAAATCTACTCCTTTCTTCTTCCCTTACCAAATTCAAGGACAGTCACTGTTGACTAAAGAAATGACTGATGACTGTTCTCAGGCCTTTTCCATGTCATTATCTGAGAGACGGAAAAGCCTGAAAGCAGATATACACAGTCAGTCTTTATTTGGCTGTTGTCATACTGTCTCCACTCAAGGCCATAATCTTATAGCTCTATTTGCAGGAAGTAAATGTGGCTTAGCTTCAGCTGCACCAGCTTACAGTCTTTATTCAACCTTTCTTGGAACATGCACCAGGCTAATGATCTATTGGTTTCACAAATTTGTGTATCCATAAGCCATCCTTTAGGACAGGAATGCCCAACCTCTGGAAATGTAGGTTCACATTAAGAATTATGTAGAAGAGGGAATTTCAGCAGATGCAAGTTGTACTGCCATAGCACTGCAGGTGTTTGAAAAGCTTTGTCGCTTGAAACGCCCCAATTCTAAAGTGCTTGCTATCACTGCTTTTAAAAGATTCCTGGCTTTTTAAAGGCAGCTACTCCAAAAGCCGCATATGAATACTGTTATGTATTGAAGTACTTACCCTGGCCACCAGGGGTATTGTGTATATAGTTTTCACTCAGGTCCACGTCAGTTAATTTAGGCGGGAAATCCTGGGATGTTGTTGTTACAATGTTGACAACCAGCTGCCTATAAAAGCAGGCCAGCTGTTCAGTTCAGTTCAGTCCCAGCTTACTATAAAGAACCACTTGGAGAAATCTCTGTGTTGTCTGCTTTGTCAACCCACTACTTAATAAATACAGTAATTAAAAATATATATATATTAATTGGCACCAACATTTGACCTCTGCTGTGTACCTCTCTCTGAATCCTATTTTCAGGACATTCTTCTTTGGGAGAGCTTTTTGATTATGCATTATAGGGAAATGGTTGTGATTCTCTGTCTCAACATGTAATAAACAGATGACTTAACTGCCGGCTAGGTATGGGGTGGGGGGAAGCTTCTACCGTTGAAGGAATACTCTAGCTGTTTTTGGACTACAACTCCCATCATCCCTCGCTAGCAAGACCAGTGATCAAGGATGATGGGAATTGTAGTCCAAAAACAGCTGGAGACCCAAGGTTGGGGAACACTGCTCTAGCTGAATGGGTAACCATAAACAATTATACTTTTGCAGCAGAATTCTGAAATACATTGCTCCAGAATTAAAAGCACAGGTAACAACTTATTATTTTATACTTTTTAGGCCAGGCTTCCTCAACCTCGGCCCTCCAGATGTTTTGAGACTACAATTCCCATCATCCCTGACCACTGGTCCTGCTAGCTAGGGATCATGGGAGTTGTAGGCCAAAAAACATCTGGAGGGCCGAGGTTGAGGGAGCCTGTTTTAGGCCATACAGTTATTGGAACATCTGTATGGCTCCTCAAATGTATCCAAGCAATAGTGCTACATTTTGATGGCAAAAATGTGGGAGGTTACAGAGCCTAGTTGTAGGGTTCATAGATGATTCAAACAGCTTCTA